ATCTGCCACACTGCTGAAGGTCAGCCCGGGCACCTCTTAGTGGCACCCCCGTGTCCTTTACCTTTAATTCCTCTGGGGGGCATCCACTTTTTCCACCACTGCTGGCTGGAATTCCTTATGTCCCCTTTCAATAGTTCTACCATTTTCATTCCACAGAGAGAAGGTTCAGTATCATAGAAGCTTGGGACTTTAGTAATAAAATTCTTGCTTGGTTGGTTGGTTGGTTGGTTGGTGTTTGCTTTCAACTACACAGCCCTTTTCTTGCAGATATGTAATATTTCCCAGGGGCTAAGTTTGGTTTAACTACACTCGCCTACTTTATGCAGAATACTTGCCCACCTCCCATCAGGAGGCCCTTGATGACCCCCGCCCATCATACCAGACTTCTGGATTTAAGATGATTTTTTTTCCCCCAAAGAACTTGTCTTTCTCTGTATTCTGACTTCTGTCATGATTACCCTACTTACAACTAGGTTATGGAAAAGGGTTGAAATCATTCCTGTAGATTTCATGGGTCAAATCAGGAGTTGTTGTATATTCTGGTAGAAGTTCTATACCCACAGCTCGGAAATAGCTGTGGATCCTGTTACATAAAGTTAAGGATAGTGTATGTAAAGAACCTAGCAACATTCCAATTTTATTCTCCCTAGTCCATGAATTGGTCTTTTATTATATTATTAATTTCCAGACTATATTATTATAGTTATTTCAGGTCATGACCCATGTTAGTAACTCAAGGTTATGTCTCCAACAATCTTCTTCCTCCAAAAACATTGTTTTCTCTCTATTGGATAGATATCATTGATATACAATATGCTTACTTTCCCATTTTAAAAATAACAATGAAAAAAAAAAAAAAACCTTTCTTGGCCCCTCATCATTCCAAGTGCCTCCTACCTATTTATCAACTTCCTTCTATAAAATTCCTCAAAAGAGTTGCCTATTTCACTTTGCTCCTTTCATTCTCTCTTGAATTCTCTCTGATAAAGGTATCATTCCTATCACTCCACCAAAACGATACTTGTCAAGATGTCAAATGACCCTCCCTCATATTTTCAAGGCCAATGACTAATTCTATGTCTGTGTTAATGGTGATCTTTAACACCATTGAACAGCCCCTCCGTCTTGAAATATTTTCTTCTTCTTAATTTCTTTTTTAAATGTTATTTTATATATTTTTATATCATTTTTCATTTTTGCACAATGTATGCATCTTCTTCTTTTTTGGTATGATTCATTCTCTCTCTCTCCCTCGCTCTCTCTCTCTCTCTTCCTCTGTCATTGGTTTCTTCACTAAGCCTTTAAGCTCTTGGGAATTTCCGTTCTTGCCTCCCCTCCTCATCTTCCTGACCTCCAAATTCTGAAGCTCCAGGACAGGGTCCAGTCTTTGTATTTGCTTCTCCATTTCTCATGATGACCACGGTCATGGTTACGCTGATATTTCTCAACTTCCTGTCTCCAGCCTACAGTTTCCCCTGAATGTTAGACTTGTAAATTTCATTGGCCACTTTACATTCTCCTTGTTGATCTCTCAAACTTTATATAATCAGAACAGAACCCTTGATTCCTTTTCTCCTCAAATTTGCACCTACATCTCCCTATTGCAACAAATAATCTCTCCATTCTTCCAGTTACTGAGGTCAGGAACTTTTTAGTTGTTTTTGATTTCTCATCTAACCATCAGATACCTATGTGCTCTCCTCAGAGAGTGTAAGTCTAGGATCTGACCAGCTCCACCACCACCACTCTGACCCAAACCCCATCACCTCACACCTGAACTGCTCCAACAGTTTTCTAGGTGATATTCCTGCTCACTTCTGGAGTTGGAGCAAGCAGCAGATAGGGGAATCCTCCTCGAATGTAAGACATACAGGGCATCTCTCTGCTCAAAACCCTCTGATGGTTCCCATCTCAGCCAAAGTAAAATCCTTTCTCTGTATTGGCCCATGAGGCCCTGGATCTGACCCTTTACCACTCTAGCTTTCTCTCCTATTATCTGCATCCTCACTTACTCTGGTCCAGACACCGTGATCTCCTTGCTCCTCCTAGGACATACCAGGACCAGAACACACCTAGAAGAAACCCTTGGCCCTTCCTGAGATCTTTATATTTACTATTTCCCCTGCCTGGAACACTTCTTCTTGGATAGCTGCAGAAGTCATCCCTTACTTTTCCTTCTAGTCTTTATTTTTTCACAATGGAAAGTGAGTTTGAAAAATGGAAGGGCAGTTGCTTTGAGCTCAGGTATTACATCATAATTTTAATACTGACACTAAAATGGTACTTACTTGGTTTTTTTTTTTAAGAGGTTTTTTTTTTATGCATACAAGAACAGGGGTACAGGCAGAGGTGCAGGGGGTGAGAGGATTCACCAGAGACAGAGTGGGGAACAGAACACACTGCTGAGGGGAGCAGCAGGCAAGACAGGAGAGGTCTGCTGTGCCTTAAGGGTCAGCTCTCTGGCCAGGGGTCAAACTCGTGCTGCAGTGGCTATAGATAGCTACACAGTGCTGAGACTTAACCCCTCACACCACCAGGGAGGCCCTAAAATGGCACTTACTTTGTTCTTAAAGTAGAATATGAGCTGACTGACTTGAACTGGAGTAATTGTTATTTTTTTAAGTTTAATTATGTAACCAGAAAAAATATGATTCAAAATGAAAACATTAAAAGGAGGTTTGTGCTACAATAGAAAGCTGTGTGGAAGTTCCTCAAATTAGTAAAAATGGAGCTACCATATGACCCAGTGATGCCACTCCTAGGAATCTAACCAAAGGATGCAAAAGTATTAATTCAAAAGGAAACTAGCACTCCTATGTTTATTGTAGCACCATTTACAATAGCTAAGATATGGAAACAACCTAAATGCCCAATAGCAGACAAATGGATCAAGAAGATGTGGGATATATACACAGTGGAATACTATTCATATACACAATGGAATACTATTCAGCAATCAAAACGATAAACTCATGCCATTCACAGCAACCTGGATGGAACTAGAAGGGATTATAAGTGAAATAAGTCAGGGGCCTCCCTGGTGGCGCAGCGGTTGAGCGCTGCGTTGCGAAGCTGCCCGCAGCCTCTGCAGCGCCGGTTCGATCCCCGGCTGCTCCCCGGCCACCAGAGGAGAGTCCCGCATGGCACGCAGACCTCTCCTGCCGCCTGCTGCTCCCCTCAGCAGTGTACTTCGGTCCTTCTGCCTGCTCTGCTCCCCGCTCTGGCTCTGGTGAATTCTCTCACCCTCCCACGCTTCTGACTGTACCCAGTGCTTGAATAAATAAATAAATAAATCTTAAAAAAAAAAATAAGTGAAATAAGTCAGAAGTAAAAAGAAAAATATAAGATGTTTTCACATATAGGAGGAATATAGGTTATCTAAACAAAGGGTCAAAAAAAGATGAAACTTGCAGGCAAACTATAGATCTGAGGCGTATAGCAGGGAGGGGAAGGAGAGGAGTCAAAATAAGGGAGGGACCGTGGTGATGGTTCACAGGTGATGTGGTGGTGGGAGGTTTAGGGGACCACACATGAGCAGAGAAATCAGCTATTGTACAAAATAAACAACAATGTAATAAAATAAAAATTAATCAAGTAATTAATTTTTTAAAAAGGTGGCTTGCAGTAGGACCTCTTGGTAAAGAAAGTTTATATTTAGTGTAGGAAGCAGTTCACTAGTACAGATACTGAACTCATATCATCAAACTGTGGCAGGTTTTTCTCCCCAAATGGCACAAAAGAAGGCTATTTAAAAAGTGTTTCAAATTTCCAGAAAAAAGTATTTTCTAAAAATATTTACAAAATAGGTTTCTGGATAATTATTATCTTCAGAAGCATTTAGTAATGGACAGTTACATGTTCACATATGCCTTCACACCAAGGATGGGAAGCAGTGTAGATTATCATTAGCTTGCTCTTTCCTTCTCATATTGTCAGTTACATACATCAGAACACAGAGGTCCTCTTTAAAACAAAGCTAACTCTCACCTATTCATTACATGTCATATTCTAATGGCAACTTTGGTTTTCACCTTCAAAGAAATTCAGAAAAGAAGCCTTTTTCCATTACAGGAAAAACGTATCTCCAGCTTATCATAAACAATTGGTCCCCTCTCTGACACCATGGTCTCCTATGTGAACTTATAGACTTTTTTTTTTTTTTTTTTTAGAGGCATGCTTTATTTATTTGTTTGCTGGTTTGTTTGTTTGTTTGTTTTTGTTTATACATGCATTGGGTACAGTCAGAAGCGCGGGAGGGTGAGAGAATTCACCAGAGTCAGAGCGGGGAGCAGAGCAGGCAGAAGGACCGAGGTACACTGCTGAGGGGAGCAGCGGGTGGCAGGAGAGGTCTGTGCGCCATGCGGGACCCTCCTCTGGTGGCCGGGGAGCAGCCGGGGATTGAACCGGCGCCGCAGAGGCCGCGGGCAGCTTCACAACCCAGTGCTCAACTGCTGCGCCACCGGGGAGGCCCAACTTATAGACTTTTTAAGTGACTATTTTCAGTCTTAAAAAAAAGTCTTTCCTCTAGATAGAGTATTATGATGCCTGGCAGCAGATAAAGATGAGGTGTAATGAAAACCCTCAGTTTCCTAGGAATCTGAAAACAGGTGAATGATTAATTTTCTTAATAGACTGAGAACGTGAACAAAAGATAGCTTAGAAGTTTAAAAATCATGAATGCTAGCAAAGTTGCATTCTGTTGTGTTTGTATTGTCATAATTGATGACTCTTGAAGAACCAGATCTCCAGGTGAGGTGGGAGAAAATAAGACAGCCCACAGAATCTCTGAAAGTGAATACCACCTTTCCCTGCATTTCTGTCTGTGCCTTCTAGTTCATCAAATGACAGGTGCCTTGTGCAGGGACATCCCATTTGTGTCACTAAGGACAAAAGCCCCTGAGTGACAAAGATGTACCCACATCTCAAGGCATTTTTAAAAACATAACACAACTCACTTTAATTATTAAGTCCCTGAGAATTCACTTTAATGAATTAATTACCTTGAGCATGCGAATTTCTCGTAGTGCAATTTTCTTGATGACAGGGTCATCTTCTGACTCCAGAAACCTCTTGATGGCCACCATCTGCCCCGTGTCCCTGTTTCTGCATTTGAAAACAACTCCGTAGGATCCTTCGCCAATTTTCCCAATTTTTTCATACTTCTCCATCACAACGCGCTAAATTTTCTTAAAAGGGATCTTCACATAGCTGGAAAATGTCACTGACAAAATATTGGCGTGCACAGACTGCACGAAGACCACTCAACGCTGGGTCTCTTCAAGGACCTGCAACAGAAGAAAGGCACCTGTCAAAGCCCTGAGAGCTGACACGCGTCGGTGAAGGCTGGCCCGGGGCGCGGGCAACGCGATCCAGGAGGAGCTGCCCTCGTCACCCAATTTTAATAGTTCAAATGCAACCCGTCAGCCTCAAATGAACAGAGATGTAAGCTAATCTATCTTTTTAATGTTATAGTTCATGCGATCCAAGACACATGAGCTGGCTGGAGGACGCGGACGGCTAAGGGTTTCCCCGGTTCTAATTTCTGGTGTCGTTTCGGTGCGCAAGAGGACACGGCCCGGCTCCCCGCGGGGCGGCGCGCGGCTTGGGGCGCCGGGGACAGCTCGGCTCAGCCAGGCGCCCGCCCCGCGCCTGTGCCACCAGCTCAGGGGCGCGCACGGAGCTCGTGGGGGACCAGGCCACCTACCCCGCCCCGCTGCTGCTGCAGGCAGCGCGGCTCTAGCCCCCCAACTTCTGCCCCGCGCCCCGACCCGCGCAGCCTCGGGGCGCCACGTGTAGACCGGGCCTGCGGGGGGCCCGCGTCCCCACCCCGCCAGGGACTCACCGCCGCGGCGGCCGGGCCTGGTCTGGCTCCCGCCTCGCAGACTCTCGCCAGTCTCCGCGCGCTGCCGGCCGGGCTGGTGATCCCTATGGGAACCGGCCGGGGCTGGGGCTGCTGGGCGGAGCCGCCGCTCCCCAGCTCCGTTCCCCAACACCACCCGCTCCTTGCTGGGGGAAGGGCCTGGCCCTGCGGCCCTCCGGCCAGGGAGGGGCGGCCCTGACGGAGGACCTGGGTCCCTGCACGTCCTTCTGCCCAGGGGAGGCCTGCGAGATGCAAACTCCCGCAGACGATGAAAAACACACAGCCCAAAGCGCCTGCAGGGGGATGCCCGCTCTAGAAAGTACCCCCTCCTTCTCCTTCCTCCTCTCCCCTCAGCTTCAGCCCCACGCTTTATGGTAACTGATTACTCCCCGGTGCAGCCCCCAACCCCTAATGACAGCTTCTGTGTCCTGATCAGTGCTTGCTCGAGCGTCCAGCCGATAAGGAAGGAACGAATGAATGATAGCGCATAGAGGAAAAGAGGTAGAGGACTGTATGATGGCTGAACTGGTTAAAGGGAGCACTTGCCTCCACCAGCTGGAGCCTGGGGTGGAGACAGGAGGCTCCTTGATGGATTTCCTGTAGCAGGCCTGAGGGTGATGAGGCTTATTGACTATCCCTTGTCTTAGGTTCCTTATTCCCAGCCTTCTCCCTGTTAACTTCAGCTCACTCAGGTCTGAGCACAGTCACAGGAAGTTGACGGACCTGGGGGGCGTCATAGAATAAGGTAATTTGCCACTGGGCAGATTGCCTCAATACTTTATCATCCACCCTATTCCATATGCCCAGCACTGAGATACGCGTTTGCTCTGGAAGCAGTACCTGAGGAGAGATTAATACATTGTCTATTCGGGCCTCCCTGGTGGCGCAAGGGGTTAAGATGCAACCTATGAAGCTATCAGCAGCCACTGAAGCATGAGTTCGATCCCTGGCCAGGGAGCAATCCACATGGTGCTGCAGAGCTCTCCTGCCTCGCCCACTGCTCCCCTCAGTAGTGTACTTGGGTCAATCTGCCTGTTCTCTGTCTCTGTTTCTGGTGAATCTTCTCACCCCCACACCTCTGGCCTGTACCCCAGCTCTTGTATGCATAAATAAATAAATCTTTAAAAAATATATTGTGTATTAAACAGAGAACAATCTGCTGCCAAGCTGCGTAGCACTCAGTGTAAATGCGTAATGTTCAGGAAGGACCTGGATGAGATATTGTTACAGGGCAGCCCCAATACAAAACGGGTTGCCTGACTGTGGGTCCTCACCCGCACGCTTAAAAGGACTTACCAATACTCTACTGCAGGCACACACGAAAGGTTAATAAAAGGTTTATTTACAAGGAAGGGGCATATGAGGAAATGTACAACTCAGGCAGAAAAGTGGGAGACAAAATTATAAATGCGTCCTACCTGATCCACCGATCTAGAATCCCATGTGGCACTCTGAGAGCTGCCCGCAAGCCAGGAGCCTTGAAGCCAGGAAGTGAGCGAGGGAGCGAAAGAGCCCCCAAGGCCCACGTGTTTGGTTTTTATACCAAACCTGCCTGCTTAACTCCACCCTCAGGTCCCAACCACCTTCCCTTTGGTGGTGACGGGCTTCGTCTTTCCCAATGTCTTGATGGCTTTGGTCTGGAGTGGGGGTGGAGTCCACAAAGCCTGCATGGAATTAGCTCAGGACATCCTTTCCCCCTAACAGCATGATGGTGGCTGCCTTGAAAAGGTAGCATACAGGAAGGAGGGAAGGAAGCATACAGATGGGAGTCCAGGGATGCGCTAGAGGTGGCCACTGAACCCCCAGAAATTGTTTGCAAATGGCATTCACTACTGATGTGTCTCCTGTTCCTCTAGCTTTGCCTTTCTTAGAACATGATTGTAGTGGCAGGAATGAGCACTGCAGGTTTTCTATGATCCAGCAGACCAGGTAAAGGAGGAGAGAGTCCTGGAGACCTTGGTGGCTTTTGCAGGTCTTTTATTTAGATTCACCAGGCATATGGCGGCAGGGGTGCTGGGGGGCCAGGAGGCTGGCAGTCCTCCCAGCCCCCAGCAAATCCTCACTCTATCTGGGCTCTCTCGGACGTTCTCTCTGCTTCTCTTCTTCTCTAGGCTTCCGTTCGTTCTTGGCTTTTACTGGCGTCTCCGTGACACTGCCCTTATAAACTCAGTCTCTCATCCCAGGTGTACCCACTTCAGGTGCCCGCCATCAGGCATGCATTCAGGACCACAGGGTTCCCTCATCTATCCTAATGGCGGGAGGGCAGAAAGCCTGATACTTTTTACCTTACCCTACAATGATATAAATGGATTTATATATCAGATCACCTTTTGAAGCTAAGCTTCTTTCAGTTAACATAGACACTTGAGATTCATCTCCATTGTTGCACTTATTAACGGTTCTTTCCTTTTTTATCTGAGTAATATTGTATATGGATGTACCATAATGTTCGTACCTTCCCAGCTGACGAATGTTTGGATTGTTTTCAGTTTTTGGTGATTATAAATCAACCCACTGTCAACGTTTATGCATGGTCTTTTGTGTGAGTGTTTGCATTTCTCTTAGCAAATAACTTAGGAGTACTGCTGAGTCATATGATAAGTAAATGATACCTACCAAGTGTAAGTAAATACCAAAATGTTTTCCAAAGTAACTATACCATTTTATATTCCTGCTAGCAATGCTCTAATTGCTCTGCATCCTTGCCAGGACTTGTTATGTCAGTTTGTTACGGGGCAGCCCCGATACAAAACGGGGTGCCTGGCTGTGGGTCCTCACCCGCGCGCTTTAAAGGACTTATCAATACTCTACTGCAGGCACACATGGAAGGTTAATAAAAGGTTTATTTACAAGGGAAGGGCAAATGAGGAAGTGTACAACTCAGGGAGAAAAGTGGGAGATAAAGTCTTAAATTTGTCCTACCTGATCCGCCGATCTGGAATCCCAAATGGCACTCCGAGAGCTGGCTGCGAGCCACAAGCCATGAGGCCAGGATGCGAGCGAGAGAGCAAGAGCCCCCAAGGCCCACGTGTCTGGTTTTATACCAAACCTGGCTGCTTAACTCCACCCTCAGGTGGAGTCCACAAAGCCTGTATGGAATTAGCTCAGGACATCCTTTCCCCCTAATAAGTTCTTGATTTTAACCATTCTAATAAGTGAGTGAAAGTATCGTGTGATTTTAATTTGCATTTCCTTAAAGACTAATGTTGAGAAGTCGTCATGTGCTTTTTTACCATCTGGACTCTTTTCACTTAGAAGTTCTATTAGTGAAGAGATTTTTGTAAATTCCTTGGAATTTTCTATGTGGACAACCATGTTGTAACAGGGTGGTCCCCAGGAAAGGGGGAGGTTCCAGGTTCCCTGCCCCACCCAAGGGAGGGTGGAGCTGAGCAGAGAGAAGAAGAAGCTACAGAGGAAACTGAGGAAGGAGGGAAGCAAGGTGGAGAGCCAGAAGATGTGAATGAGGCATGTGGAGCAGAGAGACATGTGAAGAAACTGTACTTGCCTTTTGGTCGTGGACTGGGTGACACAGATGTGGGCAAGAGACCTGTGGGGGGATAACAATGGAGGTTTTTGTCTTGATTTTTATTTTGCTCTTTTCTTCCCAGACTTGTCTGGTTGTTTCTGATGCTTTTCTGTGGGTCCCCACTCAAAGGTGCTTTAGATTTGTGGCAGGCTTTGGGGCCTTGCTCTGGGCCAATCCTGCTTGGGTAGACTTTTACCCACGAGGGGACAGGTAACTTTGGGTGCTTGATTTAGAAACTATATTCTTTGCCTTTCCTGTATTGTTTACTAATTGTCCTAAAGTTCCTTTTCAGGGCCTCCCTTGTGGCGCGAGGGTTAAGACGCAACCTATGAAGCTGTCCGCAGCCACAGCAGCACGAGTTCGATTCCCTGCCAGCTAAGGAGCAGGCCACATGGCACGCAGACCTCTCCTAACTCACGCGCTGCTCCCCTCAGCAGTGTATTTCAGTCAGTCTGCCTGTTTCATTCCCTACTCTATCTCTGGTGAATCCTCTCACCACCAACCCCCTACACCTCTGGCCTGTACCCCAGCTCTTGTAAGCATAAATAAATAAATCTTTTTTTTTTTTTGTAAAAAAGATAAAGTTCCTTTTCATCAAAACCTCATATGTTTTGTGTTGATGCGGTGGATGGCAGAACCTATTTAGAGCAGGCAGGTTTGCAGGCTCTGGGGTGCCCCTCTCCCTGCCCTGTAACAATGTCATTTGCAAATAGAGACAATTTTAGTTCTTCCTTACTGGTACACCTTTTGTTTCTTTATCTTGCCTTATTGAACTCTAAGCACCAGTTTAAATCCATCCCAGAAATCTTGATATATTGTATTTTCATTTTCATGCAGCACAAAAATATTTTCTAATATGCCTCGTGACTTCCTATTTGACACTTAGGTTATTTTGTAGTGTGATGTTCAATTTCCAACTATTTGGATATTTTCCAGATACCTTTTTGTTATAGACTTCTAGTTAATGCCCTTGCTTTCCGAGGAATCCCTTTCTATGATTTAAATTATTTGAAGTGTGTTGAGGTTTGTTTTATGGCCCAGAACATGGTCTATGTTAGTGAATGTTTCTTTTTGACAATTAAAAAAATATTTTTCAACGAGGTGGGAAAGTCGATATGAATTTCTCCAGAACTACTTTGTCTGGAGTTCATACCAGGTTAAAGTTAGTCTGGAAGGTTAACGCCACAAGGTTCAGTACCCAAGGAGCTGGAACTCTGCCAAGCCCAGTGGTAGTTAAAGTAGGGAGCAAGTGCAGCAGTTATTTATGCTTAAGTGGGCAGTGAGGCAGAAAGCTAGCGTGACTTGCAGCTGTGCCAGTTGTTCTGTTTGGAGGAAGTTAGAGCAAAATTTTAGAGAACAGCTTTAAAGGGAAACAAACAGTTGATGTCACTACTGAGCATAAAACAGGGAAGATACTATGGCCTATAGACTGTCAAATTACAGGCAGTACTTTCAGTTGGCAGTACTGAAATCGGTTTTAATATCAAAGAATTCTAACTCCTGGGAAGGAT